CCCACCCCCGCGCACAAACGAACGCTTACACAGGTTATTGTTTATACACTAATCGTCAACAAGCTGTTCAACTAATTTTAGCAAAGTTCAAAGGAGGGATAAAAAAGCTGTCTTCTTTAAAAACAATCAGTACCTACATTATGTATCTTTATTTTCTTCTTTTTTCCCTACAATTTAAATTTAAATTTTAACAACACCCTACGCGCATTATGCGACAGATACCACAGATTTGGAAACTTGAATATAATTTTTTCTCTCTAAAATGTTGGACGTAATACGTGTGAGCAACTAACCGAGGAATAATTTATTTTTCTGTGCTGCGGTTGGTGTGTGCTCTGGTGTGATTTCTGTTATATTAAACGTCTATCGCCCTAACATCTCCTCCTTCTTTTTTGTAATTGTTACTCTCTTCTAACACCTGCAATCATCAGCACTTGTACGACCATATTTTGTTGCAGGTGCTGTAAAGCTCTTACTACAACATTTGAATAACACACACACACACACACACACACACACACACACACACACACACACACACAATTCTTCTGTCGCTCCCTCCCTGACTTACGCGTCAGCCTCGCCCTTGAGCACCAGGTTGGGCCCGGTCCCCGTGAGACTGGCAATTCCTCCCGAGTTGGCGGCGTAGCAGATACACAGAGACATGCCTTTGCACATGCGCGTGAAGGTGGGGTCGTCTTCCTCTTCCGGTTCGTACTCGGTCTTCTCGTCTACGTGATTCTCTTCAGCGACTGGTCGTGGCTTTATGGAGATGCTGACGTCATCGAGCTCTGTCCTGTAGGATGTTGATTGGTTGTTTTTCATGACCATAAATAAGACAACAGCATTTATGAATAAATTGACTGACCACACCAGTATTATAATTATAGCAACGTAAGAGGAAGGCACAGGTCAGTCTCTAGAGATTTCCAGCGTCAGAACACCTCAGGACCTCTTCTTATTAACATGCACTATATTGCAGGGGAATGGCAACATACAAACAAGCAAGGATATAAATATGCCCCTCCCCCCTAAAAAAACAAAAACAACACACGCACGCACGCACGCACACACAACACACAACACACACACACACACACACACACACACACACACACACACACACACACACATACAGATAGATGCAAGGGCGCAAACATGCATACAAACACCCATGCACCCTCACAGTCCTATAAACAGATGCACATACAGTTATCCATAGAGAAACAAACGAACACACATTCACAAACATATAGTGTGATAAAAAAAATTCTTGCCGTAACTTATTGTCAAATATATCTTTAACTATTAAACATAGATTCTCCAACGTTTGCACAATGACTTATATCCGTTTGTTTTAACTGATGAGTATTTTTTTCAAAAACCTGTACACTGTATTCTAGAAAATTCCTTAATAAATACTAATAAAAAATCCAAGTCTATCGTTTCTACAGCCTTTAGGAAATATACAGCTCGAGCAATATCGCCTTTAAAAGCAAGTCTATCATTTTTTTCCTAATCACGACTTCATGCTTATTGAACGCATGTCTTGAGAACCTTTAGTGCAAAAAGTATGTTTACTATAAAATAAATTTCTTCTAACAAGTTTTGCCTCTAAAAAGTGTCATTGTTAAGCTGTGACATAGGCCATATAATGCGTATACAAAATGTGTGCAAGAAGCGGGAAGTGCTGTGAACAATCCCATTTTACGCGTGGCAGAGATTTATAGTATTTTATATGAATTATTGAAGAAAAATGTTTTAATCTATCCTCAATTGTTACGAAAAAATATGTGTAAGTTAAGACAGATTGATACAAACTGCTGTGCAAAGTATGAGTGACGGTGGTTCCCTCGTGTAAGAGGTATTTGAGGATAAGTTGCGCCACGAATTTCTGACCGCACTATAATATCAACATACGTTTTCTCCATGTCGATGTCTCCGTTGATACTCTTGGACCCTGAAACAACATTTTAAAAAATAACGAGGTTTTTATCTCAAAGTCACATGATTCGTTATTTTACAGAGTGTCTTTTAAAGCAATGCTCTGTTTAAATGACAATAACTTGGTCGTCTTTGGCCCAATAATTTCAAGAAAACTTCGTACAAATTATAATTCAACTAAAGGGGGGAGGTAAATTTAGAAATATGAAGAAAATCAATCAACGTGTTAAGAAATATCCACTTGTTGAAACAGTAATCAAAATTTTGTAAAACTTTATCAAATCAAGCGGTCAACTAAATGGAGGGACCGGGGGGGGGGGTGTCATCGGTCTGTTTTGGTGTCAGGACAAGGACGGTAAACCATGCCCTCCACATCAAATGGTTATCTCATCGTTCTGAGAAAGTTTAGGAGAAGTTTGGGGAGGAGAAAGGAGTTAATATATTCTGTTGATCAGGCTTGGTCCCTGCGTGGTTGGGTTACATCCCCACACATCAAGAGTGGCGCTTGCTTGGTTGAAAGAAAAGTTTGGGGAACGCCTTCAAATTAAAAGACACGAGCTTACAAATGCATGATCACTGCATTCCTACGACCCATTCAAATAGTCACCGTCTTTAAAATCTAAACTTGTCTATGGAGTTACGTGTGTGGCAAGGCACTATCAAAGAACGCTACTTGGGGATTCTTTTTTTAGGGTCTCTTAGGTACTACCAAAAAAAAAATCAAATTATCTGAAAGTAGATTCTTTGCATTGGATTAGAAATAGCTTTAGAAACGATGAAATGCGCTGTTGAAATAATTAAAATCGGATAATAACTTTTTAAAAAGCTACCAAGTTTCAAATTAATGCAAAACGTAGAGAATTTCATTTCACGCAGCATACAATATAAAACGAGCAAAAAGAAGGACTTTGAATAGTCAAGCAATTATGTAATGGGCATGAACATATTCCATGTTTATGTTTTCTTGAAGTAAATGACAATATTGAGGCATACAAAGACTAAAGATATCCTCAGGCTTTTAATTCTGATTCTGCAAACCTATCAAATTGTATGAAAATGGCTTTTCAGTAAACAATTTGTACTCACTACATAAAAAGGCCAATTTCCAAGTTCAAACAATTATAATCCTGTGAAGTCAAAACTTCGTGATATTGTTGATTACAATGCAGGGTACAAGGTAATGTATTTTGCAAGCATGGGACAAAGAATCTTTGAAGTATGCCATCGAAAAAAGGACCGAAAGACTCATTTCGCATGTCGGCAAAAAGAACGCGCAAAACACATCTTTGTAAATGCGAACTTTCATAAAATGATAACCATTGATAATGCATGAGACTGATATTTGATGTTTTGATGTAATTTAGCAAACAAATACTTTTAAGCCAAAAAAAAAAGAAGAAGAAAAGATCACTATTACATTTTAAATTTTGCTCACGCTGGTATTAGTACAGATCGACACTTTATGGATTTTCGAGATAAAAATAAGGCTATATGTAACGTCATTGAATAACAATCACGAAATCAGAAATGGTTAATTACTTAGTGTAAAAATATATCATTTTTCAAAGAACAACGTAAGAAACACTCTTATTTGGTTGTTTACTAGATCTGCTTACGTCATTTCAGCCAGCTTGTGCGCAGAAAAGGAGAAAAAAGGGGGAGGGGTGCTTCAAAACAGAATGTTTTCGTCGACCGGAAAAGCTTAGATTTATAAATATAATATGTACACCAATGTGTAGAGAAAAGATTTGTCTTTCAGCTGAGTCTATGCAAATTTGTTTGTTTGTTATTTTAATTTTTTTTAAAGCGATTTTTGGTGATATCCTTTTTACGTTGTATTTCTTACAGCTTTGTTGTTGTTGTTGTTGATTGCTTTATCATTTCGCCTGCAATTTAAATAATGACCTCTCCTCTATAATGGTAAAATCATTCCTTCATTTCCATGTCTCCTGGTCGAAGTGTTTTCATTAGAATAACCATACCCTCCAATAGTCTTCGTGACCAAACACACCTAGCGCAACTATCCACCCGTGGACCCTGTTGTCGTTTTCCCACAGGATTATTAATTAATCGTCTCAGGTTTTAAAAAAAAGAATAACATATTTCGAAAGAGATAAGAACACTGAATACGAATATTATGGAAATTTTCTTTTGTGTGTCAACACTATTCAGGAGAAAAATGGCATGCATTAGTCACGAAATCAATCCTTCACCTCGCTCGTGCGCACTTTTCTAGTGCGCAAACTCGCACTTTTGGCCTATCTCGCCATATTGAAAAGTAGTTAAAAGGGAGACGATTTACACATTGTGAAAAGAAATTTTTGCAGACTCGGTGGCCAGGTATAATTTATTGATCTAAATGACTCTCAACAAAACGCTGTCTATTCTTCAAACGTTTTTTGTTGTGAGAATTTCCCTTAACTGAATAATATTCCATGCACTCACGCGCAGAAGGTTTTGTGTTTCTTGCTCCTTTGAGCTGAACCAAAATGGCCTCCGTGATAGGCACCATCATGGCAGTTGTTGCGGTGTTGGAGATCCACATGGACAGGAACCAGGTGGCTATCATCATTCCCGCCATCAGCCTGCCCATACCACATGGGAAAACAAACAATGATAATAACCATAGCAACACCAAAAACAACAACTTAATATACCATAACAACAGCAACAATAATGTGGGGTAGTTGGAGGGTGCCACTGGTAGATTGCACTTCTTTACTTTCCCTCTGTCCTGACTATCCGTCTTAGTTTTCCCCAGTACAAAATGACCATTATTTTACTTCTCCTTACTCAAACAAACAAAGCAACAAAAACGGAAACAATGACAGAAGGGGAAAGAAACCAGCAACGGCAAACGCAGTGAAAGGGAAGTGACCAAGTTACACCAAAAGATCACAGAGTAGCTCCCCTTTGATTGTTTCTATCTGCGTGAAATTACTTTAAGACGAAGTCACTGACTTCACAGTTTTAGCACTGGCAGTACTAAATTCTATCAACTTATTAATCGAGTTGAGTAAGCTAATCTGTATGGAGCAGCTCAAAATTAGCCTTAAATAATAGTCAGTTCTGAAACTGTTGTATTATGGCACAGATAGGATACTGCAAGATGGGTGATATCTCATTTGAAGAATGCCAACAGTTGTTTTTTTAAATAGTGCATATAAACGGAAGGGATACTAATAGTTCGACCCGGCCCGATCGCATATGTGGGCACCGCCTGTAATGCAGTAAACCATTTTGCAGTTCATAGGTTTGCTTTTAAAAAAATACTGAAACAAAACAAAACTAAAAAACAAAACAAACCAAATCTAGTACAACAACGGGGAGGAGGGGGGGTGGTTGCAGACAGATCCAGAAAGGAAATCACTTTTAGGCTCGTGGGTGTCTTGGAATTTGGGCACTCACCACCTGGGTTCGGATCCGACAAACAGGAGAATCCTCAGAGCGATACGTCGATGTAGATTCCAGTACTCGATACCAACTGCCATCATGAGACCAGCAATAAACAGCATGTTCACGTTCTGTGGGGAGGGAAATGGTTAACGTCATCACTGACTTTCTTTCTTTCTTTCTTTCTTTCTTTCTTTCTTTCTTTCTTTCTGTCTCTCACAATTTCCGTCTACATTTCAGCCATCTCTCTCTCTCTCTCTCTCTCTCTCTCTCTCTCTCTC